TTGGACATCTTGCAGAGGTATTGGACATTAATCAACATGAGGATAACATGAGTCGCGAATTTATTGTATTCGGACGTGTTTAACAATTTATTCATATACTGTAAATTCAAAGTTGCATGCTTTACATTTAACATTAAACTTACGCTTATTCCGTAGAAGGGTTGCAGACCTGCCGAGATTAGGGCGTCTGGGGCATGCCCCATTCCCTCCCCTCAATAGGGCTGAGAGCTTTCCCTCGAATTTTCTACATACTATGCTATCGCTCTGCGGTCCCTACCTATAGTATAGATGAATAGGTCCCTTTCCTTGATGGTCCCCTTGACTCATTTCATTTTTATAGGGTTTGAATTGGTTGTGGAGCTACAGCTGTATGATGGGGCCAGTGATGCGACTTGGAATATTTGCAGCTGTTGTACTACTAATAAATGTCACAGCTGGCGAAGGTAAATCATGCGAAGAGGATATGTATTACTGTATATATATATATATATATATATATATATATATATATATATATATATATATATATATATATATATATATATATATATATATATATATATATATATATATATATACTATATATATATATATATATATATATATATATATATATATATATATATATATATATATATATATATATATACTATTTAAAACACGACAACGAGTGTTTTGAATAGCTTCAAATACGACTACAAACGAATACTAATTAGGATGAACCATAGTATAATCATGCTAATTAAGATGAACAATTATATAATGCCACATGTGTTTTATCATATATAAAGTCACTCCACGTGACATATTATGGCTGACATGATTTGCCACAAGGTTTATGAATTATTAATGAGTATTTTAAATATATATATATATATATATATATATATATATATATATATATATATATATATATATATATATATATATGACGAAAAATGCTAAAATTGCAGCTAGGATTCATATTTATATATTAAAAGATTAAAAGTTTCTTGTCACTAGCTATGTAAAAAACGTAATCACGTTTATAAAAAGTTTTTACAAGACGTTTCGATCAGAAACCTCCGATCTTCGTCAGTTGATATTAAAAACTAAGAAGCCAATAAACAGGCCTCTATTTATACGGTTCGTTAGCTATTAATTTGGATGCATCAGTGACCCATAAACGTCTGGAATGTCAATATGGTCATTGCCAGAACTTTTGTCCACTTGGGAATACCAAGCCTCAAGGAACAATCGTTTGCGATAATTTTTCTCTCTACTAACTATTTCAGCGTTTTCAAAGTCCATATTATGGTCATATTGCTCAACGTGTTGGGCTATCTTGGAATTCTTATCATTATATTCAACAGCTCTTTTATGTTCTTTTATTCTTGTTTTCAACGCTCGGTTAGTTTGACCATAATAAGTAAAATCACAAGCAGAACATTCAATTTTATAGACGATGTCCCTTGTACGGTTGGTGTCTAGCCTAGTGACAAGAAACTTTTAATCTTTTAATATATAAATATGAATCCTAGCTGCAATTTTAGCATTTTTCGTCTTATAAATTCACATTATGGTTCGCGTGCTATGAAGATCGCAAGAGACCTTGAAAGGAAGTCCTATATAGCATTGCCAAACAGAAGGAGCATTTGTCATTCAACCACGAGTTAAAGAACGCCAAGGTATTACCCAAAAGTCTCCGATTTACGCCACCGGTTGTTTGCAGAGAAGGTACAGATATAATGTCAAAAGCGGGTTGGAGCTTCCTGAGACTTCGCATTCAACACAGTCATCACAAGATCAAACGGAAACAGGATGAGTATCACGACAATTTAAACATTTTATCAAACATTTTATCGCGGCAGAACATTTGAAAGACCTCCAAGATGTCGTTAAGTATAACTCGGACAAAATGAAAGATACTATTAAGACCAAGCATGAACAAAAACTTAATTCATTAGGTGTAATCAAAAATACCGAAGCATATGTTGATAAATCGAGATGGGTAATTAACTTATCTGTATATACAAGACAACTGAACACACAGGAAACGCAGATACTTGAAAACGGTTTGAATTATGCCATTACACCTAAACGTATTCCCGTTCCGAAGATTATTGCCAGCATTGAATCATGCATTTACCACTTAAGTGAAGAAAGCAAAGCCACTATACGAGCATCTGTCGTTAATACCTTAAAAAATACTAAGGCGTTAAGCACAACTAACATGTCTAAACAACAAAGTCATGCTTTAAGAAATTTGAAGAAAGACAAAGATATTACTATATTGTTCCAGCTGACAAAAGGAGAGCGATTGTTGACTTGTAATGAATACTGATGATTACGATAGGAAAATTTCTGATTTATCACTTGATAAAAAGACTTACTTAAAGAATTACAGATAGACGTAGAAACCCAACCAGCAAAGTTGAACAAGATCTTAACAAACTTCTACGAGATATTAAGTCTGAAAGGTCGCATAACGATAACAATTTACCACAGATTAATGAGAAACTTTATGGTTTACCTAAGATTCATAAGCCAGACATACCGCTTCGTCCGATTACCAGCTCTCTTTCATTTCCTACGTACAATCTTTCAAAACACTTAGTAATTGTTTTATCACCTCTAATTAAAGGGAGATATACTGTGCGTAATAGCACTGACTTTAGTAAACACATAAAGGACATGTCTATCTCAACTGATGAAGTCAATAGTCATGGTCTCATTTGATGTCGTATCTTTGTTTACGTCTATCCCTGTCAACTTAGCTTTAAAGATAACTAGGGACAAACTTGAAAGTGATCGAGAATTATCAACCAGAACAGAAATGTCAGTATCTAACATTTTAAAACTTTTAGAG